AGAGCCTAGTGTCAGTGAGTACAGTTCAGATACACATCCACACAGGACAGCACAACGTCGCACGGAAATCGTAAAAAAACAGAAGAAAACCAAAAGGAAAACTTTCCTTTGTTTTTTTTGTTTCGTTTTTTGCTTGCTCCAACACCACAGTGGACACAGATACTATTTACAGCGACCTTCACATTTTTAAGACCCCTCCATGTGCTCCCAAGGCCCTGCTGCTGCAGGAGGGGAGGCCTGGGGGCTGACTGCTCAGGGACCAGCCTGGGAAGAAATGGGGCAGGACGCAGCTTGTTGGCAGCCTGTGGAGATTCGCTGCTGATCAGCAACATGGGACGGTGGGAGAAGATGTGTGTTTTAGGGGAAGCATGTCTGATGCCCTGGGGGAAGGGTGGACAGCCTGTCAGTGAGGACAAAAGCATGCCTGCTAAGCTGGTCTCAGTCTCTTCTCCCCCCCGGGGTTCAGGCCCTGCCTTGCCAACAGATTTTTGGGTGGTAGCCAAGCAAGGGGCTCCCCGCTGGGGCAGGCAAATGGCACCAGCCCCCTCTCCATTCCTCCTCTGCCTTTCCCCGTACCCGAGGAGGGTTTGGTGCAGCTTCCCATGCCCTTCGGCCAGCAGCAGGGCAGCCTGGCCATGGCTTTCTCTCCTCTCCTCTTCCTGGTGACAGCAGCTCCTGCTCTCCTGTGGAGCCGGAGGCACAGCTTTCCCAAGGAGATCCGGCCCAGGAGAAACTCGAGAGCAGGTGGTACGAGTAAGAAACACTTCAGTGGGGACTGTTTTAAGACAAGACTCTTTCAAGAAAGCAGTAGAACAAAAGATGTCGGAAGAAGCGCCCAGCATCACAGTGTAGACAAACTCCCTGCCGGAGCCCTGCCCTCCTGCTTCCCTGATGGGTGGCAGCCAGCACATCCACTTCACCCTCCGTGCTCGCTCCCGTCGATGGGAACAGTGGGTGGGGGACGTGGAGGGAAGAGGTGGTGACAGGAAGACGGCAACAGCCACACCACTGTTATCTCTCCGAAGCTTGGAATGTGGCCCCGCGCCCGGGCAGCTCTGGGTGGGCGCGGGGTTGGATACATCCAACGCAGACGCTGACAGGGCTGGCAGCCAAGTGCCAGCAGCTTAAATTAAAAATCGAGGTAGCAAACATCTGAAGTGCTTAGAAAGTAAATAAGTTCTGGAACGAAAGGAGGAAAGCCGAGCTAGCTGCTCTGGGGAGCAGGCTCTACCCCTGCTTACAGCTGTGCCCACCACCAGTCCTCCTCCACCCGCCTGGTCCGGGGTTGCAGAGCAGGTAGGCAGTGGCTGCTAGCATTGCTGAGGACTGGCCAGGCCTTCCTCAGGGCTCGCACGTAGGGATGAGAGGTCCTTTCAGTGCTGCCAAGACAACCTCAACCTTCTCAAGCATGAGGAAAGAGGAGAAAAGAGCAGTACCTTCCGAGACAGAGCAGAAAGCCTCCCTGTAAAGTGCATCGTGTTTCTCCTCCTACCACGAGCTGGGATGCGGGAGAAACCATAGTTCACATTGCCAGGGAGATTTCCAAGCCAGGACCGGCACACCGATGGATTGTTCTCAGGGATTAGGGAAGGAAGAGAGGATTTCCTTCCTGCTTGGCCATGTCAAGGCCCACCCCACCAGGAGGATTGTCCAAAACAGTAGCGGGGAGTGAGGATGTTATAAGGAGATGCCTTGCCCAGCAGCCCGGCCCTGAAGCAGGTGAGGGATGGTGCTCAGTGGGAGCTGGTTTGCTAACAGGAGAGGCAAATCCACTGCGGAGCTGGGGACCCTGCTGCCGCCAGCAGCAGCCACGGACCACAGAGATCTCCTGCAGGCAGAGTGACTGCAGGCAGCAGCAAAGCCAGCTTTCCTGGAGCAGGCATAAGCAGGGAAACACAGAGGGGGAAGAGACCGAGGTCCAATGTAGTGGCATCTGATCCCCGTTCCCTTCCCAAGAGCAGCGCAGCAGCCAGCCAGATGTGCTTCAAGACCAGTCCCTCCTTGGCCTGCCCCATTTATCCTTCATCAATGGATCCATCCAGAAGAGCATCACATACCACCTATGTCAAGCGACAAGTGGCAACACTGGCCATCCATCCAACAGGCCCGAGGGAGCTTGGGGGCCCAGGCAGCACGTTCCTTTGCCCTGGCTCTCCCTGGGCCACATACCTGAGAAGCAGGGGATTTTCTCTGGTGAGAAGTGCAGGCTCGCTCTCCCTTTAACAGCTCAAACACAGCAGCTCGTTTGCAGTTCCAGTTACCCATCAAACGTCGGCTAGAGGCTACAAAAGGTATTTTCTGACTCAAGCAAGGATGTTTTTAAGCGGTCGTTGCACAAGGTCACCCATCTCCTGTGAGGAACGGATCGCCAGCCAAGCCAGCCCAGCCTGCTCCATCCTGCCTCACCTCCAGGTGAGGGGAGAGCAACGGTCCCTGCCGCACGCCCAGAGTCCTCCTCGGGTGGGAACACAAGGCAGCCTCGCCTGGTGAGGCTGGGGGCAGTGGGGCAGCAACGTCTGGCAATTCACACCTCGCAGATGATCACCGGGAAATCCACGTGAATGCGAGGGTGCTCTAGCTTCACTATGCCCTGAAAGAAGAGTCAGAGTGGTGAGCACAAGAGAACACTGGAACAACAGCCCTGAGCCCTGCCCTGCAAGTCAACCTGTGCGAGAGAGGGCACTGCGCCCTCGAGGAACGGCAGTTCACAAAGCACCGTGACACCAGGTACGCCTCAGCAGCGGCATGCAAAGCCAAAGCACTTTGCCCTTCGAAGTCGTCCCTGGAGAGGCGAGGGCGGCAGGGCTGGCGGCCACACATGGCGGGTCCAGAGCTCAGCAGGGCGAGAAAGGAGGGAGCTGCTCTGCCAGGCACTGCCCGTGCAGCAGCTGGTGCGTGACTGGCAGATATTGCCCGTCTGGGCTTTTCATCCGGCACCTTTCATTCACGGGATTTAAATGAATGAAAAGAGCTCTCTGAGAGAAAGCAGCCAGGGCAGCTGGCACACAAGAAAAGCAGCTTTCTATCCAAAGGGGAGGCTGCTGAATGCACGCTCCCTCCATGCCAGCTACAGGCGCCTTTCCCATGCTCCGTCCAAGCCTTCTCCTGTTACTGCACCGGGAGGACCCGCTGGCAGGTGGGAGGCTCGGGGTGGAGGGGGGAGCAGGGCTCACGGCTGGGCCTGCATCCACAGGGCCAGAGAAAAGCCTGGGCTAGCAGAGGGCTGTTAGTGAGTGCTGGTCCCTGCTCTTTCCTGCTCAGCCGAGCTTTCCAACAGTGAGTTGCAACCCACACTGAGGAGGAGTCAGTCCCACAGCCCAGGCCTGTCCCTGCGAGAGCAGCAGCTCGGGAGCCTCCTACCCCCCATAACTGCCTGTGCAGTGCTTAGAGGGGTCCCATCCCACTGTGAGGCTATCCACCCCTCAGAGCACACCAACGGCTTGCCCAGGCACTCACTAGAGCTGTACCTTTCTGCTTGCTTAGGAAAGATTCCTGCAAGGACTCTCTCCACTTATGCCCCCAGAAGCTTCCCTACCTGCAGGCTATCCTTCTCCTGCACTGAGACCTTCAATTTGTGCTCCAGAACCTGTCCAGCTTCATCCCAGTTGTGTGCTTTAAGAGGAGACTTTTGCACTGAGGTGCAGAACACACAGCTGTCAACATCTCACCCATGACCAAGCAGCCAGAGGAAAGCGCACACTCATGTCAGCAGGTGATGGGCTTCGACTGATGCTCCCGAAGCCAGGGCCTGGCCCTCCACAGAGACCTGACACTTGGCTGAGCAAGCACAGCTCCCCACACCTCAAGGAAGGTGGTAGGCAATTGGATGTCACAGCCATGCAGGGCTGCCTGGCACTCGGCACCCCACAACACGCACCCAGCTGAGCTGCCTTCCCCAGCCAGGCAGCTATAAAGGCCTGAGGCTCCGCTTCTCTCTGGATAGTGGGGCTGGAGGGAATCACCAGCTCTCCCTCTCCTGCTACAGTCTCACTAAGTGGCACAAGTGTGAGCCAGGACACACAGGAGTCAGGGCTCTGCGGGAGAAGCTGGGTGGAGCTGACAGCCTTTGCCTTCCCCAGCAAGAAGATGCCCCGAGGGAGAAGGCCGGCATGCAGAGGCCCCTGCAAAGCTGGAACTTCAGCTGTTGCGGTGGTGCTTCAGCACGTCCTTTCCCGGCACGCTACCTGAGGTATCAGGTTCTTGTGGATCCTCTTCAGCTTGGCGCGCTTCCTCCCGTTCTTGGTAACGATTGTCTCCTCGTAGAACTCGTGAGCCAGATCCCCATCCTCATCGTAGTACATGGAGCTGCCGAGAGGAGATGGGAAGCGGGCAGGTAAGAAAGAGCCTGCACGGGAGGCGGCTCCCGGCCTCCCGTGCCCGGGGCTGGGCCGGGCTGGCACCACCAACCCCGCGAGGGCCGCGGGCTGCCCTCCCGCTGCCCCGCCGTGCAGTGCTCGTGTAGGCCCCATAGCGGAGCCCCCCCCCCCCCGCTGCCATGGCAACCGCCGCCCCGGCCTCTCACCCGCGGCGTGTGAAGACGAACGGGGTGGCGGCGCGCGCGGCCCGCGCCCGGGCCAGGGCCTGCTGCCCGCCGGCACCCTCAGCGCCGCCGCCGCCCGCCGCCGGGGAGGCGAAGGGCCACAGCCCCCGCGACTTGGAGCCGCTGTTGCCCATGGCGGCGGCGGGGGCGGCGGGAGCGGCCCGGTGACACCGACCGAGCACCGCCCTGCGTGCGCCGCTGCGACACTTCCGGCGCCCGCGACACCACCCCCCCACGTGACCCGGGAGGGGCGGAGCTGACCGCGTCACGTGAGAACGGCAAGGGGCGTGCCCACCTCCCCGCTTGGCGCCGGCGGGAACTTCGGAGGCGCGGGTTCGAGCCCCGACGCGGACCAACACCACGTGCGCGCACTCACAGCCCGGTGGCATCGGGGGGGTCCTCGTGTCCCTTCCCCGTACCGATACCCCCCCCCATCCCCAAGATAAGCCACAGGCCAGGCCTCGTCACCAAGATGCTTTTATTGGTGCTCGACGCCCTGCTTCCCCCCAGGGACACCCATTTCATCCTGGGGACACCTACTCCCCTGGGGACACCCACTCCCTGGGCCAGCCCCATGGCGGCTGTGACGGTGGGTCACGGGGTGCCCCACTCCACCCCCCCTCCCAGTGCCCCCACCCGCCGGCGGGCAAGGGTCCCAGTGTGCTGCCTGACCACCAGCGCAGATGGCACGGTCACCCCGGTGTGTACGCAGCCAGAGCCTCCTGCATCTTCTGTCGGCAGCGGGCGTAGCGGTGCCGCAGCTGGCGCACGTGCTCCTCCTCCTCCCGCTGCAGGATGCGCAGGAAGTTGTGCAGCTCTGGCAGCGTGAAGGCGTCCCACTGCGGGCACACGGGCTGCTGCCGCAACGGGGACGTGGTGTGTCCCCCCCATGGCTGTGTCCCCCCCAAGGCCACGTCCCCCGGTCCCCTCATGGCCACATACAACCAGTCCCTTCCCTCATCCCCACACTCACGTTCACCTCCCCGGTCTCATTCTCCTTCAGGACGAAGCTCAGCACCTTCTCGCTGGGGCCAGCCAGCAGCCGCAGCCGCAAGGGCTGCTCCTCATCAGCCAGCTTCCGTAGGTACACTGCAATGGCAGCCATGTGTCACGGGGGGGGACACTGCCACAGGGACATCACCACCATGGGACACTGCCACTATAGGGACACCACTGCCACTCTCAGGACGCTGCCACTATAAGGATGCTGCTACCAGTGAAGATGCTGCCACTCCGCAGACATCAGCACCATGGGGGGGGACACATTGCTGCCATGAGGGACATGGGCATAACAGGGACATTGCTGCCAAAGGGGGATACCACTGCTACAGGGACGCTGCTGCCATGCAGACATCGCCATGGGGACATAAACTGCCACAGGGGATAGTGCTGCCATGAGGGGACACCCCTACAGCCACTTAGGACTGCCAAGGGGGATACCATCATAACAGGGACACCGCCACCATGGAGGACACTGCCACCATGGGGTACGCCACCACCTGGGGACATCACCACCATGAGGCTACCACCACTGAGGGGAAAACTGCCACCGTGGGGCCTCAGCTATGGGGACTGGGCCACCCCTGGTACCTTGCTCATCCTTCTCGGACCTCTCGAAGAGGGCGAACTTGCGAGGGTTGTCGATGACGGTGAACTTGCGGAGGAGAGCATCGATGACCTCGCTGGCACGCGTGTGTGAGAGGATGTGCAGGTGCTTCACGGTGCCCTTGGGCAGGTAGAAGGATGTGCGGCGCTTCACCCCCTGCGTGTGCGGCCCCGACCGCCCTGTCTGCAGCGCGGGGACCCGCTTGGTGGCCGGCACCGAGACGGGGCGCACCAGCTTCAGCTGCACCTTGATGAAGCCGGTGTAGGAGCCATCCTTGTTCTGGGAGACACCGGTGGGGGGGTGAGCAGGGCCAAGGCAGGACACTGGGATTCCTCCGCAGCCCCATGCCAGCCCCGTACCAGGCTCATGAAGAGGTTGCTGTTGATCTGGCTGTTGTACTCCTTGATCCGCTGCTCCACCTGCGCCTGGTCCAACTCTGCCTTCTCCCACTCGCTGGGCTCATCCTACACGACAGCAGCTGGGCTGAGCGGGACCCCTCCGCCGGTCCCGGCATCCCGCGGCCCCCAGCCCGCCCCGAACACTGGCTCACACAGGCACACACACACACACAGAGGCGGTTGCGCGGGGTTGCATCAGCCCGGCTGATGAGCTCACCGTGCCTCCAGACCGGCACCAGTTCCGCCCAGGCCCTCGTCCCTGGGCTGCAGGGATGGGTGAACCCGCTGCGAGGACACCCCTGCCGGCACCCCAGATCACAGAGGCGTCCCCAGGGCAGAGCACTGGCAGCCGCCAGCCCGGCACCAGGGCAGGAACCCCGGGATTCGCCCATGCTGCCGGCACCCCACTTCAAAGCGCTGGCCCCACACAGGGGAATCCAGGCTCAGCGTCCCACCGCCGGCACCCACTAATGAGTATTTACATGGGGCCGAGTAGCACCCAAGACTCCTGGCCCCAACGGCCACCCTAGGGCATGCGGGTACTGCCGGACCCGGCTGTGGTCCCCACGAGGGGCTAATGCTGGCACCCCCAACCACTGTTCTTCACTCCCTCCGGGAGAATCCAGCCCCGGGGACCATGGGGCCGCCGTGCCAGACAGCACAGCCCCACTCACCCCACTGTGCCTCGCTCGCCCCACAGCGTTGCATCTACCCCCCACAGGTAGCCCCACAGCAGGGCAATGCTCAGCCCCCAGGACAGAACTGCCTGCACCCCATATCTCCCTCACGGCCGGGCAACAACTGCCCCCCCTCGCCTGCCCCTCAAGCACCCACCCCCGGGGGGGGGTTGCCCCCCCCGCCTGACGTCACCGCATCCCCCCGTTACGTCACGCCGGTGGACCGGGACCGACCTGGCGGCGGCGCGGGCGGCGGCCGAGGGAGGTGCGGGCGGTGTAGAAGAGCTCGGGCTCGGAGTCGGAGTCCTCCTGGCTGCAGTAGCCGCTGCTGGCGGTGCTGCCCCCCGTGCCCCCCGCGCCGCCCCGCCGCAGCGCCAGCCCCGCCACCGCCCCGCAGCTGCTCCCGGACCCGCCGCCCCGCGACCCCGATCCGGCCACGGGCACGGCGGCGGCCACGGCCCGGGCCGGCCGCCCCACGGCCCCACCGAGCCCGCGGGCACACGGGCACACCCGGCCCCGCGCCAGCCCGGCCGGTCCCCGGGCTGGGGCCCGGCTCTGTCCGCTCCCGGCTCGGCTCAGCCCGGCCCCGGTTCCTATCCCGGCTCGGCTCTGCCTGCTCCCGGTCCCTGCCCGGGCTCGGCTCAGCTCGCTCCCGGTCCCTATTCTGGCTCGGCTCAGTCTGCTCCCGGCTTGGCTCAGCCCAGTCCTTGTCCCAGCACGGCTCAGCCCGGCCCCGGTCTCTAACCCGGTTCGGCTCAGCTCGGTGCCGGTTCTTGTCCCGGCTCGACTCAGCCCGGCCCCGGCCCCGGCCCCGGTCCCTATCCCGGTTCGGCTCAGCTCGGTGCCGGTTCTTGGCTCGGCTCGACTCAGCTCGGTCCCGGTCCCTATCTCGGCTCGGCTCTGCCTGGTCTCTATCGCGGTGCCTGTCCCCGTCCCGGCTCGGTTCAGCCCGATCCCGGCTCGGTTCAGCGCGGTCCCGGTCCTTGTCCCGGCTCGCCTCCGCCCGGTCGCTGTCGCGGTCCTGTCCCGCTCCCGGCTCAGCGCGGCCCCGGCCCCGCCCCGCCCGGGCCGTGGGGGTGACGCGGGCCGGGGGCGGCGCGGCGGGGCCCCGCTTCCGGCGGTGATTTCACCCGCTCCCGGAGCCGCCGCTCCAGGCCGAGCCGTGCCGGGGCACCGGGGGGCACGGAGCGGGACAGCGGAGCCTGGGCTCGGCACGGCGGGGTCCGGCACGGCTCGGCACAGCCTGGACTGGCACAGCACGGCACGGCTGACACCGTCCGGCATGGCATCGCCTGGCATGGCACGGCACAGCACGGCACTGCCCAGCCAGCATGGCCCAGCGCAGCCTCACACGGCACAGCCCAGCATGGCACATCAAAGCCCCGCATAGCCCGGCACAGCCCAACACAGCGTAGCCTGGCACACCATGGGTACAGCGTGGCACAGCACTGCCGGCATGAGATGCCATGGCCTCACCCCCAGCCCGGGCAGTCCCCAGGGTTGGCCACTTCCCACCCTCCCTCACAGACCCAGGCCGGGTCCTACCACGTTGGTGTCCTTCTCCAATGCCTGCTCGTTGCCATCGTCCTCATCGCCAGCACCCGGGGGGCCGCTGCAGTCCAGCCGCACCAGGGCCCGGCACCGGTAGTGGCAGGTGAAGCTGCAGTCTAGGGACAGGGATGGGACCAGTGTCACCACCATGGCCCTGGGTGTCAGGGTCACCAGCTGTGCCTGGGAGGGTACTGGTGCCTGGTGGGACAAGGGCTGGTGTCTGTGTCAGTACTGGTGCTCAGTGCCAGCTGCCTGCCCGTGCAGTGTGGTGCCAGAAGCCCAGGGAACAGCACCCACATGGGACATGGTGCTGGGCAGGCACTAGAGTGCCTGTGCTCCCTGCTTGGGCCTCTGTTGTGGGTGCCTGATGGCTGGGATGCTCAGTGCCCAGTATTGGAATACCCAGTGCCTGGTACCAGGCTGCCTGGTGCCCGGTGTGGGTGCCCAGTACTGGGATGTGTGGTTTCTGGTGGGGATATTTGGTTTGGGGCTGCCCACTGCCTGGTGCATGTGCCCAGTACTGGGATGTCCAGTGCCTGGTGGAGGTACCTGGTGCCCAGAGGCCCAGTGCCTCTGTACGGCGCCTCCCAGCACAGGGATGCCCAGTACTCAGTGGGGGTGCCAGTAGCAGGATGCCTAGGGCCTACGGGACGTAATCAGTACCAAGACAGCCAGTGCTGGGGTGCTCAGTGCCTGCCTGGGGCAGGTGCCCAGTCCTGAGACGCGTGGTACCTAGAGGGGGTGCCCAGTTCCAGGATGCTCAGTGCCTGTTGTGGGTGCCTGGTGCCAGGATACCCATGCCCAGTGGGCGCTCCCCACCAGGACTGCCGGCGGTGGGGCTGCCCGGTGGGGGATGCCCTGTGCCCGCCGGAGGTGCCCGGTGGCGGGATGCCGGTGCCCGATGGGGGTGCGGGAGGCCCGGGGCGCAGCGCGGTACTCACGGCGGCACTGGAGGCTCTTCCTGCCGCCGCCCCAGACGAAGTCCCCGCAGAGGTCGCACCAGGTGTGGAGCCCGCGGCGCCGCGGCTCGAAGCGGTGCCCGGCGCCCGGTGCCGCCGTCAGCCGCGGGTCGGGGTGCGCGCCGGGGCCGGGCCGCCGGGCCGGGCTGATGCGCAACGCGTTGGTCCGCTCCAGGCGGCCCCGGCCCGGGCGCGGCTCCGGCTGCAGCTCCCGCAGCTCGATGAGCTCCATGGCCCGGCGGCCGCGGGCGCTGCGCGGCGGCGGGGCGGGGGCCGGCACCGGGGAAGGGGCCGGGGCGGGGACCGGAGGGGCCGCCCCGTTCGGGCACCGCGGGGGAAACTGAGGCAGGAGCGGGAAGCGATGGGGGAGCCGCGCAGCGCCCCGGGGTCCCGACGGGCGCCCCCGGCCCCGGCGCGCCCGGCAGGGAGGGCTGGAGGCGGGGATGACGCTCTCGCAGCCGTTGCCGGGGAAGGGGGGGCCCAGCTCCGGCAGTCCCGCTCTCCCCGGCGGGATCGGGGCAAGCCTCGCTCCGGGACGCGGCTTCCCAGCGGGGCAGGCGTTTGGGACCCTCTGGCGGCTGGGGAGAAGCAGCCAAAGCACCCCCGGAGAGCCCCTGTGCTCCGCCTGGCCACAGCCGCAGCCGAGCAGCCCGAATCCAGGCTGCGTGGCCGGACAGGGATGGTTTCCTGCCTGCTGTCGTGGCTCCTGCAGCAGCAGCAGTGCTATGCAAAGCCTGTGTCAGGGTGTGTGAGTGCATGGGCTCAGACACCCCAACCAAAAAGGGGCTCGGCCCTGGCAACCTTTCTCAGCTGCACGCAGACCAAGGCTCCAGCCCTTTGGCAGCGGCTGCTGGCTGGGGAGAGGGGGTCATGCACCCCGAGGCAGCGCAGGCCAGCAGTAAACCCTGCAGAGATGCTGGTGAGCAGGGGGGCAAGCTCTCAGTGCTAAGTCACATCTACTGATGATCATCCCTGCATGATGGCATATCATGAACACCTGAGGAACTCATGTGCTTTCTCAGCGAGGTGCTCATGCTAACCACATCCTTTGCTCACCCCGCCACTCCAACACAAAGATAAGAGACAAAAGATAAGAGGCGACATGCAGGCCTTCTCACCCACTTCCCTTCCCAGCACAGCCACAGAGGGCTTGGCCAAAACTTACTGACTCCCTTTTTGGGTTCTCTGGGAACTCTGTTGTTACAAAGGGGGCAAACAGGCACACTCCCCCTCTCCCTAAGTGCAAGGGAGGGGAGGAAGCAGTTTAGCATCTCCAGCTAGGAGACCAAGCAGGAGCCAAGCGGCAGCGTGGTGCACAAGCAGGTTTATTGGAGAAGGCTGCAGGAGGGGTGGCAGGAGGGGCTGAGCCGGGGCAGTGCTGCCCGGGCTGGGAGCAGGCAGGAGGGGCCTCTACGGCTTCTCTGCTCTGGTCACCGGACTGCACACAGAGGGGAAACCCCTGCCTGGGCGAGCTGCAGGCCACATGCCAGTCACTTCTTCTCTTACAGGTCATTCACGCTTGTTGACGCCCCAGCCATCAGGTTGCAGGCAATCTTGTGCTTCTGCCAGTGCTGGACCTGGCATGCTCTGTGGAAGAGAAGTCACTGCTCAGGGGCTCTGCTGTGAAGTGTGGTGCCCAAAGCTTGAGCAGGGACACAGCAGGGCCACGTCCAACCCCAGGAGTGAAGCAGTGACAAGGACAAACCCCAGCCCCATGCTCCTGCGGGCACCGGGGGCGGAGCTGGCGGGGCTAAGCATTAGCCCAACAGGGAGGTGGATGCAGCCCTCAGTTGCGGGGCTAAGACGGTTTAACACCAACCCTTGGCAGATGGTTCAGGACCAGAGATCTAATTTACTGCCACCACCCCAGCTGCCACATCTCAGGCTGTCACCTGCACCCACAGAGCCATGGGTGCTTTCCTCCCCACTCATGCCACATCAGGGTGCAGGGGAGGGAAGTGCAGCCCATCGCTGCTGTCAGTGTGGGGCAGAGGCAGCTCAGCACCTCGCTGTGGCAACACAACCCTCCACCAGTGTCCTGGCACATCAGCCTTGCCATAAGATGTGGAGAGGTACATGGCAAGTGGACTGATAGCACTGCGGAACAGGGAGCACTGGGGGCTGCAGGGGACACGGGGACTGCAGGGCTCCCTTACCGTGAGCAGTACCACTCGTTCCGGCAGCGAGAGCACCGCTTGGCCGCCTCCGTGCCACACACCCTGCAGCGGGGCTTGTCGGGGGCCAGAGCCTCCATCATGTCCAGGCTGTAGGTCTCTGCCCACCTGCAGCAGGCAGAGAAGGGGTGAGGCTGCTCACAGGGAGCTGCCCACAAGCAGCGAGCTGTCCCCGCTGCACCCTGTCACACAGCAACATCCCCAGCAGCGCCACAGACCCCTCCACCCTCCCACTGTGAGCTCCATGCTGCTAATGGGGATACCGGTTCCACGGGGCACCCTGTGTGCATGTAGCAGGGCCCTACCTGCGAGCCTGGAGCTTCAGCTCCTCCTCGGTGGGGCTGAAGACGCGCTTCACCTGGTGCTTGGCAATGGCCTCCCACTTGCCTGCATTTTTCTTGAGGATGTGGTCCCAGATGACAGGAACCTGTGGGGAGAGGCAGAGCAGGAGGAAGGGGTGCTCGTAGCTGTGGTGTGGGGGCCTTCAAGGGGACAGCCAGCCCCAGGCATGAGAAGCATGTGCAGAGAGGGAGCAGGGAGCAAGGGTGTGCTTTTGGGTACCCGGAGGGAATGGTTCTGCTCGACAATGAGCGTTCAGGTGAAACAAGGCAAAACCTTTGGGGTCTGGTTGGAAGCGAGAGTGAAGCCCCTGACTAGGAAGGCCTGGGCTCAGCCCCTGCGTGCCATCACCAGTGTGAACCCCATGCTCCGGAGCCATTTGCCTGAGCACAGTTTTCCACTCGTTACTTCCCTGAAGGCGAGCACCCGGGGCAGGGCTGACCAATGCGAGAGGGAAAGCACCAGCCAAGAGCAAGCATGGGGAGTTCAGGCTCTGGAGATGCTGCTTCAAACGGCGCTGCCTCCTCCAGCACAGCAAAAATAGCCAGGCCTGGAAGGGGAGGAGGCTGCTCTGGGAGCAACCGAATGGAAAAAGGCCTTTCCTCAGCTTGGCTTGGAGACAAGGAGTGAGTTCACCGCTTTCTGGGCAGAGCAGGGAGCCCCTGCGTGTGCTTCCAGCTGGCTCCCCCTGCCTGCCCCCCGGCTCAGCCCCAGCCCTTGGCAGAAGCAGGAACGGCACCGGCACAAAAGCAGAGCTATGGAGAAGGGCAGCAGCCTGGGCAAGGGCTGGACGAGGTCCCCGGGCAGCAGCTGCCTGTCCCTGTGCCACTGACACGCTGGCAGTTGAGGCCCGTGGAGCTAATCCATAACCACCTCATCCTGCTGCCATCCCAGCCCCAACCACTGGCCTTCTTCAGCCCCAGCTCCTGGCGTTTGCCGTGGCTCAGCTTTGCATAGGGCACATCACCCCTCTCCTGGGCCTTGCACCCAGCTCTGCTGGGGACAGCATGTCTGCTCTCCTCGCTGCCCAGCCTACCCATCTGCTCCAGTTAGCGGTGTAGGAGCCTCCGGCAGTGGGGAAGAGCCTCTGCTTTTCCCAGCTGCCTGTTTGCAGATCTACAGTTTCTCCCCTCAGCTCACACAAAGACACACTTTGAAGGAACACTTTACTCCAGAGATTACCACTGCGTGGATTTAAACCCCCAAGAACCTCACACTGTTTGAAGATCCTCAGGGATCAAGCTTCATACATCAGCCGGGAGCAGGCTCTATCCCCAGCCCTTGGCATCCCT